CTGCAATTAGCAATGTTGCCTCATCAGCACCCCAGCATGTCAATCACAGCTCTTAAATACGTAGTAGTCTGCCAATGCAAAGACGGAGGCTAATTTAGCTCCAAGGATGCAAAACGTGGGTCCTGTCTTCAGGGATGCAAATGCAGCCTGTTGGTTTTAATACTGGCAGCCACATGAGCTTGTTCGGATTCCTCTGGGCATACACGTATAATCTGATTTTAGATGTTAATCGCACATTAGGCCGCTGCATTGTGCTTTTAACTGTCTGCGATAAACTGTAATAACAATCTCTTCAGCCACATTTCTTAATTAACCCACCTTCCTGTCGCAGTTGCTGCTCGTTGTGAGTGTCCCGGCAGTGATCTGACACTCTGGCCGGCTCTGTCCTTTCCCGCTGTCTGCCTATCTCAGCTCCCCCTCCCGTCTCCCTCTGCCTGGCAGCCGGTACTGGCGTTGCTTGAGCTTTGGACTTCTCTTCTCCCTTAAGGATCTTGGAGGCTGGAGGCGTTTGTGATGGAAGGGCCTCAGGGGCATCCTCTCTGTGCCAGTGCAGAAAGCAAGAGCTGAATGAATAATCAAGATGCAAAACTGCACACAGCATCCTCTCTGGCAGGGAGCATACCTGTAGAGGATCTTTAAGTCCCACACAAACAAAAGTACTTTTTAATAATGAGCTCCTAGTCTGCGTATTGGAAAGAATATGTGCGTCTCATTCAGTTTGATGTTAATATCCACATGGTGATTTCCTGAGGGGCTTTAATAGGGAGGACGGCATCCCTGAATGATGTTTACATGACACATTATGAACAGTAGAAAGTTCCTATTTTCTTCAAGCGTGACAGTATTTGACCTCCAGTGTGTTCAGATAGACATACAAAAAAGATCAAAGGCTTCAAAGTGAATGTTGTTGCTTTTGAAGAATTATGCTTCTCTCCATCTGCCCCCCCTTGCTGGTACCTCTCCCTCACTTCCTTACACTTGTCTTTTCATCTTCTCCTTTTTTCCGTCTCCCACAATCCCCAGAGTTTGCTGCGGGCCAGAAAGCTGCAGCTGAAGCGCAGCCAATCTGGAACGCAGCTCCGCCTTCCTGGAGATCTGAGAGAGAAGAAGGCACGAGATTGGTTGTAAACCAAGCTGCTAAATCCACAAGTTGTTTATATGCACAACCAACATACTCAGCCTGTCTTGATTTATCACACTGCAACTGGCTACGTACGTCGTACTGCTGTCTGATTGTGAGTTATGAAACATGCATGAATGACGGATTTCAGCATGTCAATTTGATATTAAGGCGGTTTCCTGTGTTAAAGCAGCACTCCACCCAATATCTATTACATTTATTGTGAAAACACTTACATGATGTACTTTGTGGCTCTGATGGAGCTTTGTGAAGTTTGACATTTGATGATACAATAGTGATCTCCTCCGGGTTATCTCGGTTTGGTATTGGATACTACAATTTTTTTACAGAAACTTGGGACATAAGGTTTGAAAATATTAGCACAATTTGTAGGCAGGAAGGGTAAGACAAAGACAGGGTGTGGTAGCATTGTGGGAAATGTAGGATCAACCTTGATCCTTACTAGAGACTGCAAGTCAGAATATCTGCTACTTTGATTTTGACCATAGGAAAAAAATCTCTTGTGGGCAGTGGTGTGAAGTATTTTTATATTTTACTTAAGTAAAAGTAACAATACCTCAATGTAAAAATACTCTTAAAAGTGTTATTAGTGCCAAATATAATTTAACCTCTAAACATCATATTTTTGCAAAAATAGTGCAGTAGGAAATTGGGGACTGTTATACACTGCATTGTTCACTATTATTATTTAATTTAAAAAATATTGAAGTAAAACTACGCTTTGGGCAGCAGAATAATTCCTGTTTGTATATTATTGAATAGTGATGATTATCTACGATTGACTGATGTCTGCACTCACAAAGCCAATGGACAGTTTTGAGTCCTGCACTATCTGCAGAATTTCCTAAAGAATAGAATAAAATCAAACATGACTTTTCTTCCTATCGGCCATCAGCTGCCCTGCTCTCTAAATATCGGTCAACCTCTATTATTGAATTATCATTATTTATCATAACTGTGTAAACAGCATTTTCATTTTGTTAGTGGTTTGAGCTAATTATAGTAAAGATATTCTACACTGTTGTTGTATAGTTGAATCTGTAACACTACGTAATATTCTATTTATATATATATATATATATATATATATATATATATATAATATACTTTTCTATGTACAACTTTCATCTGAAAATTAACAAGTAACGACTGTCAGATAAATGTAGTGGAGTAAACAGTAAAACATGACCCTTTAAAATGTAGAAGAAGCATAAACTGGAAACACCCAAATGTACTACAACCACTGCAAATTGTACTTAAGGACAGTAGTTGTCAGTAATACTTTATTTATATTATATTCCACCACTGCTTTTTAGTTCCCAATTTAAAGGAAATACAATACACTTTTAAAAGTCTTAAATCCATTAACTTTGTTCCCCAAAATGTGAAGTCATCCTCTATGTTACTTTATCAAGGAGATAATACACTTTATTTACAATGAATTATTACTTTATAGGGATTTTTATTCTTGTTTTACAATCATTATCTGGTTAGATGTAGACTATTTCATAAACACTATAAATCCAGACAAAGGAAATGCAACTTATTCACAGAGATTAATTATAGGTACTGCCCATTAATAGTATACATGAGTACTACTGGTAGCCTACCAGAAACCTTCACCATAACAACCAAATGATCTTCAGCTGTAGATGTGTGGGACATTTATTTTCCTGTTTCCAATTAGGGGATGTAAGGGCAGCTCAGTAAATAAACTACACTGTTGAAGGGCATGGCCATAACTTATAAGCTTGAGATTCTGCCCTTTAACATCCTGAAGCTCTCTGCTCAAAGTGTAAGCTTCTGATCTCCCAAATTCCTGAGGCTAAAGCTCAAATTATTCATTCCACCATAATCATTAATTCATGTTATTCACATATTTTCGTCTCTGTAATATCAACACTGTTATTCCTAATTAATGAGGACTCACCTCATAACTTTGTAGCATTCATACATAATTAAAACACCTTTATTTAACCATGTGAGCTCGGCTACTATGTGTCCAAGCTGATATACTGTAATACAGATGTTTTTAATTAAGACTAAATCTGTGTCTGAGCTGTAGAGAAGTCTTGAGTTGCAGTCATGACCTGTTGTTACACCTGAGGGAAATCTATTCAGGATTTACCAAAGTCACACAGGTTACACACAGATCACACTAATATGGAGGGGGGGGCATGCAGATGAAGTGTTTCGGTACCTTGAATCTCTCCTCAGGGGTAAGACTGATTTTTATTTCCAGATTCTCAATCTGTCTCAACTTCTTCTGCAGCTTCCTCACCTCCCCCATTTGAAGCTCTGGGCTTGTCTAAAGCGCCCAGTCCAAACCCCCTGACCACACTTTTAAAGCCCCGCACACGACTGACTCTCAGCTGGTCCCAGCGACTCAAAGATACAACATCGCCTTTTAATGAAAACTCTAAATAAATAAAGATGTATCGGACTCAGGCTCGGCGGTGTGTTGAGGAGACGTGTCGCCGGATGTTGACGAAACGCTAAACGTGTATAATTGTCCTTACAGCGACATCATGTGGACCCTGAAAGCATTTCCTTAATAACAAAAACTGTTAACGATTAGTATAATTTTACATTCACAGTGTCTTTACCGATAGTAATTTAAGCAGATGTTATTGTTTTGGATTTTACAAGTTGTGTACAGTTAATTTAGTCAACAAAAGTCAAACTGACTAAAAGTCACTTTGTCAATTGGAGGTCGGTAAGGCTGTGCGGCGTTCAAGAGCTGTGTCTTCGGCTCGTTTTTTCGACTTCCGAGTCGTAAATGAGATAAGAAAACAAACAGAAACAAAACCAAAACTAATCAGAATCAGAAATACTTTAATAATCCCAGGGGGAAATTACTTTTGTTACATACTCCAGAACATATATATATTTATATTTATTAAGGTTAAATATGTACAGTTCAAAATGTGCAAACAGTGCAAAAATGATTGTCCGTGTTTGAGGTCAGATTACAGAGAGGGGGTGTCTGACTATCTGAGGGAGGCGTTGTAGAGCTTGCAGTTGTTTTGGTCATAGGAAAGCTATTCAAAGGCTACTTCAGTATTTAACTGTATAAAGCTGTTGTAGGCCTATAGTTGAACTAAACATCGCCAAGTGTTGTATTCAAGGGAAAAATTACATACAGTATATATAGTGCAGCAGTAAATTGGAGACTGTAATACACTGTATTGTACACTGTATGGTACTACTGTATGGTGCAGATTTGGAGGGTGCACATTGCATGAAATGAACTAAATGTCAGAAGAATAGTTCCAATCAATATACTCAGATGTAGGACAAGGAAAATGAACAAATTGTCACAATTGAGAAGCATGTACCATTAAATGTTCAGCATTTGTGCTTGAAAACGGCTTAAACTATTAATCCAATATTGAAATATGCAATTACTTTTCTGTGAATCGACTCATTGCACCTCTAGTCACAAGTAGGGATTGCTTGGTGATAAAGTATCCCAAGTGAGTTGTAAAGTCTACTCTTACTAGTCCTAGTGGCTCTGCCCAGGGGTCCCCTGATCCCTCAGACCTAAGGCACCAGACCTGACCCTTAGGGCTGGTGTCCCCTGGTGGGTAAATTCAGCCCTACTCGGACCCCTGGGCCTGTGTTTGCTCCTTAGGCAATCCATCCATGGAGTGAGGAAGACAAGGACTTAAGGTTGATCATTAATTTGAAGGCAATTTCAGGTATTAACTCCAAGGAAGTAAATAAGTAATTTGAGGATAAAGTGTATTTCTGTATATGGCACACTGTTTCTTCCGACAGCACTTGAATACGCCACTGGCTGCCTCCTCCCCCCTCTCTCACAACTTGAAGCTCAAATGTAACAAAGTAAACAAAAACAATCGTGTGCAGGATGCGTTTCACATCCGTGTGTATTTACTATTGAACAGCAGCAGTAAAGAAAGCAACCAGCGGAGCGACAACACGAAAATATTTCAGACATTTTGTTTTATAAATCAACTGTCCCTCAAATACAGGAAGTGACATCAACGCACACACTTCTTTTGTCTGACGACCTTATCCGGAGGAAGTGAAGCTCAGGCAGCTGCTTCACCGGAGGGAAAAAAAAAAAAAAAAAAAAAAAAAAAAAAAAAAAAAAAAACAGGGGCAAAAACTTCACTGGTTTGCAGGAATTTGGATACATTTTGGAAACTGTATCGACACCGTCCGGAGCCTCGAGAGTTCCGGGGAGGGAGACGGAGTCGTCGTTACCGGTAAACGCCACTCTTCTCCATGCAGTCGGTTGTATTTTTTTTGTCTGTGTTAGATTTGCATGACTCCGCTGCCGCCTCTCCACCCGTCTCCACAGCCGGAAGTCTGTGAGGATGGTCTATTGCTTTTTTTTTTTTTTTTCTCTTCGCTTCAGTTTTTTTATCCTTTGGGTTTTTTTTTTTTTTTTTTTTTCTGCTTTGCTTGTTATTTTTTTTCCCAGGCAGGCAGGGCACTACAGACACACACTGTCTCTCTCTCTTCTCTCGCTAGCTGTATGATAATCAGCACGTCGGGCCTCATTACAAGATGCAAGGAGCCGAAATGGAGTCCTTCTGTTGAGCTACGGCTTTATTGTAAACATTACGCATATCTGATTTGTAGTATTTCACAACATTTAGGGATAATTGGTGTCGCTGTTCATTACGTGCCAGCCGACCTATAGCTGAGAAACTTGAATCTGCTGTAAATACCACAAAAAAATCGAGGTCAGTTACTGTATGTCGGCGCCTCCAGACCATTAAATCCATGCCTTACAGTTGTAGTCCAGTAAAGAAAGTTTAACATTACGTTACATAATCGATGTCTTTACCATGCCAGGAGCATAACCTCTGATATACACTTTACACTGTATCGAGTCAAATCTTAATCTCAGAGACCAACAATTTATCTTTTTCACCCCATATCGTCTTTTACTCTCATCCCATCATGTCCCTTCTAATAAGTTAGTTATTAAATCGTTATAATTCCTCATACCAGTCAGTCTATCTCTCCTTTTATATCAATTTTTTATTTTTTTTAATTGGACATTTGCCAGTGGGATCCTACTGGCTGGGCTCAAGGCTGTATTACTAACCGGAGCTACTGCCCCCGAGAGCCCCCCACACCTCCAGGTGCCCTTAAAAAATACCCTCCGCTTCACAGGGTGGTAGTTTTAGTTTGTGGTAATTTGATTTATGGGACCTTTTCACAGCAGATAAGTTTACTTGTCATAGTAGGACGAGCACAGGTGTGAATGATGGCTCTGTTGTGTTCAAGTGTCCCAGTACACACAATACCAGGACCGTGAAACTGAAGCAGCTAAATGAAATTCAGCCATACTATTAGTGTAATTTGGCCTAATATAGTTTTGTCTGAGGGCCTTAAGGTGGGTTCAGGTTTATGATCTTGATCTTGAGACTTAAAGAGGGGTCCTGTGTCAAAAATGGGTTTTAAAGGTGAACTCTGCTCTTTTTTAAGTCCTTTTTGCAGATATTGATGAGTTCTTAAGTTATATAAAATATATTATTATTATATTATATTATATATTTTGTGGCCCCTGAGGGAGCTGCAAGAAGTTTGATAAGTTGCTTCAAGTGATTTTTTTATCCTTTTTCTTTTTTAACTCTCCAACTTGAATCTGGAAATGTTATTAAAGTGCAGAGTACTCTTTTGAGCCCTCCAATATTTCATCTGATATTTTACCACAAGATTCATATTCCTAAATTAAATAGAGTTTAATGAAATTACCACGGAGCAACCCTGGGGTTTAATAGAGGCGTAGAAGCTCATTTTTGGCTCCAGGCCTCCAAGGAGTATGATTGGATCACGGCTGGACCTTTTTAAAAAAGGACGTTGTTCCAGTATTTTTTATATAAAATATATTAGTCTTAAGCATATCCTCGGGGGTGTCAGAAATCACCTGTCTCATTGATGTCCATCTTAATAAGCTGCGTTATAAGGGGCTACTTAAACATTTATAATTATTTTTAAATCATCTGGAAGAATTGTGACGCTCTGATTGCCCTTGACTTGTCAAATTTGCTACTACAGCTGTATATTTATATGTGTGTTATTTTGTTAATGTGATGTTGCGCGTTTGTTTAAATGGGCATCATTTGAATTAGGTTCACTGCTATGGTCTGTGCAGGTCTTTACAGTAATTCACTGTTGCTGCTTCTGTGTCATTGCAGAAATGATGGAAGATTCTCATTTTAATTCATCGTATTTCTGGTCTCCCATCCCCACCGTACCAGGACAGGTAAGTCTGGACAAGACACAGAGAATACGTTGTTTCTTTAAGATTGATGTGAAGAAGAATTTTCCTTTTTAAAGAGTACAATAAGAGGAATCTGAGGGAGTCCAGTCTGGTTAATCAAATGAAACATCTTCTCTCTACCGACAGATTGAGAATGCCATGTTTTTGAACAAGGTGAAAGAGCATCAGGAAAAGAATGCTTCCTTCTCTTCCTCTGCGTCCCACTACCAAACAGCTCTTCTCACCATCCCCACTCCTGGGACAAAGACAGATGGCGGAGGGCAGGCAGGTAGTGTGGCACACCTCCACCCTCCTCACAGCACCCAGAACATGCTGTCTGTACCCTCCACAGGCATCATGACAGCAGGTGAGTCTGTCTCTGCAGGGAGAAGCCTCTGGGCCTTTCTCAGTTTGAGAGCGTTCTTGTTTTTTCCACGATACATTTTGACATAATTTCTAATGATCAAAGTATTCAAATCGGAAGAACACCAAAGGTTGAGGCAGGATTGCGATCGCATATGTTCAGTCCTGACACATAAAATAACAGCGATGCATTAAATGATTTAGTTGATAAGAACAAAGAAATTCCACTTATATGGAACCTCCGAGAAGTAGTAAGGGCTAAGGGCAATACACAAAATGTGTTCATAATATAGTTTATAGCGAATACCGGGGTATATTTTGAAGAATTTTGATTCTTGGAATTTGCATGTAGTCATATTTGTAATGTGTGATTTTTCTTTTTTCTTTTTACTTCTGGTGCAGCGGGTCTGGTCATCACGACTCCTCAGGGAACACTCGTCTCTCCCACCTCGTCTCAGTCATTTGTCTCTGGTCATCCAGCAACGACCATGATTGTTTCAGCACTCCATTCTTCAGGTAAAACTCACACAATGACACACGCACTATTATTTTTTTATTTTTATTATATAAGTGACTTCAAAACATCAATGTAGATAATCGAATATAATAATGATCAATCTCCCCCTGACAAGTCAATAACAATATTGCAATTTAGCAACATTAATGACTGAAATTTTAATTTTCACATTGTTTTAGTGACACGTCACATGATTAAAACTGTTAGTATGTCCTTGTCACTACATCCAGGCTATGAGAGAGGAAATTAAATTATATTATGTTTAGTTTGTTCTTAATGATATCTCTGAAGTTATGACGAGCACAGATTGTTCTCAGGACTTACAAAGCAAACAAAACCAGAAAATAAGCACCTAATGATTAAATTACTTATCCAGACTGTGCCAGTAACTTACGGTTCTACACCTTTAAGTGAATCAGTTTTTAATTTAAAAAAAAGGACAAATATACAGGCTGTCGCAGCTTGCTCATAAAATATTTGTATGTGCTTTTGTGTTTGTTTAAAACTTTTTGTTGGAAGCAGTATTCAGAGCGTTATGATCATTCCAAATTGTTTTTTTAGTAAGAAACATAAATTCTATGTCCCCGCCCATTCAATTCTCAATTACACCTACAAGAATAAGTGCAGTTAAAAACACGAGACTTCCTGCAGCATTCTTTGATTTTTATTCATTCATTCAATCTACCCACAGACCAACATGTAGAGGGCAGTTAATATACAGAAAGGCTGCTAGGGTTTAAGAGCGTTCTCCCCTCTTAACCTGTTGCGGTTGCTCCTGTTTTAGACAAAAAAGAAGGGGATGGGACTTCCCATGTGGTTGTGATGCCAGCGCCCTCCAAACGAGGCAGAAAGAAGAAGACAACTCTGTCCAGGGTCGGCCCTGTGGGGGGACCAGGAAATGAGACTCTAATACTGGCTCATCTGACAGCCGGCGGCCAGGTAAGAAAACACAGATGTAGAAAGGAAAATTAAATTTATTTATCATAAATTAAAAAAAAACAATCATTAGATAACTCTGAATATTATTTTTGACAGGTGACATCTTTGCAGCATCATACTGGAGACCCATATGACCTGTCAAATGAAGAGGAAGACCATGGCCCAAAAGATAGTACAAAGACATACAGGTACAGTGTCAAAACAACGCCTGCTGTGCATCCCCACGTCTCCTCGCTCTAGCTGTGGAATGCAAGCATACCTGTTCCTCTGTGTCCTGTCGAAATCAGCATAGAGATGTTCGGCTTTTATAGATGAACTAGGCGCTGCTGGATATGAGCATTTGACACACACAGACACCTCCTCCTCTTGAACACACTTCACTGCATGTCGTGGCAGAACTTTGCCTGCTTTTTAGTGGACGGTTGAATCCTTCTCTTAATGTATTTGAGATACAAATACATCAGTGCTTCATACTGTCTCTCTCCGCCTCTGCACACACTGGAAATGAAATGCCACCTGGCCTCTACTGTCTCTTTGTCTTTATATAGCATGCTCTTTGAGTTGTAAACTCTCAAGCACTCTTGTGTCGTGCTCTTTTGCTTTTTATAGTATCTACATACCTTTCCCTGTGAGTTTTCACTGATTTCTCCCTTGAAATCTTTCCCTGTGTTTACATGTCTTTTACATTTGATTTAACCCCCCCTGTCTACATTGATTTATCTAATATGATTCATTTTACTTTTTTTTTTTGTAAGTTTCATTTTCTATCATATCTTATTTCTTTCTGTGGGTCAATGCTTCATTCCCCTGTCTCCTTTCAACAACTTTCATCTCCTTTTTTTTCTCTTTTCCATCATCTTCTCTTGTGTTTCTTTTTCTGTTTACGTGTCCCTCTTCTTCCTTCTTGTTCTTCCATCCCGCCCTCCCATTTCTGTGTCTCTCCGCCTGTAGGTGCCGGATGTGTGCGGCGACCTTCCTCAGTAAGTCTGACATGCAGATCCACTCCAAGTCGCACACAGAGGCCAAACCTCACAAGTGTCCTCACTGCGCCAAGTCATTCGCCAACTCCAGCTACCTGGCCCAGCACATCCGCATCCACAGTGGGGCCAAGCCTTACACCTGCTCCTACTGCCAGAAATCTTTCAGGCAGCTCAGTCATTTACAGCAGCACACACGGTACTGCAGACTCCCCAACCCCCGTACCATATCCCCCTGTCCTGTCAACTTGTCCTGCCAAGTGCCTTTTTAGAAGCCCAGACTCTCTGTCTACTTCTTCCTGGGGAAGAGATTAGAGAGGTGTGCAGATGCATATTTCACTGCCATGTAGATGTTGACTCGCATGCTACCAGATCCATCCAGATGTGACCTTTTCAAAAAAATCTGAATTCAAATTACACCTTTTTAAGTTGGGCTCTGTCCATAAGAAGATTTTCCATAATTGCAATAATCAGAATGGCCGTTGGAAATGCATGGAGCTCTTTTATATTGATTGATACAATGGGAATATTTTACCTTTTCTTTCCTTTTTCATTTGTGTGTGTGCACTTCTCTTATTAATGCTTGCATTGCATTTTTATCGCATTTTCCTGCTTTACACATTTCTCTTGTCTGTACGCTCTGTCATTTCTTCTGCCAGTGCTTCTTCAACAGAAATGCACACATACACATTTAGAAATCCATGTTGAAATGAAGAGATAAAGGCAAACATAGTTCCATTTGCTTCCCCATTTACTCCATTGTGTTATTGTTTGGTATACTTCCTTATCAATGCTTTTTTCTTACTTTCTCCATTGAATAGCAATGTGTGATAGAAATACTTTGCTTCCATGCTCTGCTTTCCTGCTCTCTGCACTCATTTTGTAGTCATACTGTTGCTCTTCTTTTTGGCTGTCATCAAATACATTTTCAGTCATTTCTGGAGGCATGTTGATCTAAATGGATGCATTTGTCAAACCTTAAAATTACAGTCAGCACATCTAATATTTTGGTCTTCTGTTTATACATCCAAATCATCTAAGGCAGAAGGATATGTGTAAAAAGGACAGAGTCAATAATTAAATATTTTGCTTTGTTAATCTATGATTGTGTGGCATTGTTGGACATATATATTTAACACGTTAAATTGAAAGGAATGTAAATTACAACTGAGTAGAAAAAGTGTTTTAAATTATGCAGATTTTTGTTGGTAACAGTTAAAAGACTTTAGTGTTTCAATCTTCTCTTTACTTGTCTGGAATGGTGCTCTTGACAGGTTTTGATAAACTGAGGCAATCACTTTGAACTATGTGTCAAACACAGTATCACATGTTTTTTCTCAGTCTACCTTACAACAATCCTGTTTCCCTTTCTCTTTCACCCTCCTGTCTGCCCTCATCAGGAACCACACAGAGTCAAAGCCTCACAAGTGTCCCCATTGTACCAAGTCATTTGCCAACTCTAGCTACCTGGCCCAACATATCCGCATCCACACTGGAGTGAAACCCTACACCTGCACCTTCTGCCAAAAGTGCTTCAGACAGCTCAGTCACCTTCAGCAGCACAACAGGTAAGTGAGTCACTGGTCTTGGGTTTCTCATGTGCCTCAGTGTCTTTCTGCGGTCAGGTTAGATCACCATGAACATAACAGGAGTCCATGTATGCACATGTATGTGTTTGTTTGTGTTTTTTATTCAGGATTCACACTGGCGATCGACCATACAAGTGTAGTCATCCAGGCTGTGAGAAATCCTTCACACAACTCTCAAATTTACAGGTGTGAAAGAATTTTGTTTTCTTCTTATACAGTGAGTATAATGTAATGTGTTGGTTTATTACCTGTCTTACAGGACAGTTAGCTATACTATAAAGCTTTTTTTTTTTTCAATAACCATTCTTTCCCAGTCCCACCGGCGGCAACACAACAAGGACAAGCCCTTCAAGTGCACCAACTGCAATAAAGGATACGTAGATGCAGCGAGCCTGGAGGTGCACATGTCTACACACACAGTCAAACATGCGAGGATCTACTCGTGTGGTCTCTGCAACCGTACTTATACCTCAGTAAGACAAATGTCCATTTCTGAAGAGCATTTCTACATGAAACACTATGAATTGCCTCTCTGGCATCAGACAGCTGGCTGCTACTTTACACCTTGTAGTCATGTGTCCACTGTTTTCCCTCTACCTATCCTCCCCTCATCTCAGGAGACGTATCTGGTGAAACACATGGAGAAACACAACCCAGACCAGTTGACTGCACCAGCACTTGTGGCAGCACAGTCGGCACAACAGAACCAGAACCAAAGCCAGGGCCAGGCAGAGAGAGCAGATGGAGGATCGAGCCGACCTGGGGGACCTGGGAGTGGAGGAGCAGGCGGAGGCCAGCAGGGACAGAGCCAGAGCAACTATCCCCAGACAGAAACCATTTCCTGTCCATTTGATATGCACCAGTATAAGACAGTGTCTGCCAGTGACATCCAGTACAAACCAGTCAGTGTAGCTGACCTTACTTCCCACAAGGACCTCTGTCTCACTGTGTCAGCATCCACTATTCAAGTGGAGCACCTCAACTCTTAGAGGTGATGAAAGGAGGGAGTTTGGGGTGGGGGTGGGGAAGTTGAAATTAGTTCAAGAAATGGAGGATGGAGAGTCACAGGGAAAAAAAAAGCAATACTTGGATAATACGAGAACTTTTGAACACACAAATGACTGTGCCTGAATGATGGTTTGAGGCAGACAGGACAAACAATATGGTGACACAGTATACTGAAGGCTATGATTTTCTTTTTATTATTTTTTTTAGTTTGTCTCTTTCTTTCTGCCTTGTTTGATTTCATTTTGCTTAGCTGTCCTGTCTGAGTAGAAAGTGCATGTAAAGGCTGCAATAAAGTATGTTTCAGTCCATCACAGTGATGGTTTTATGATGGGGAAGAGAGTCAAAGAGACAGCACTTCTCTTTATTGTTGTTTTATCACCTCCTGCTCTTCCCTATAAATACAGCTTTGGCCATAGCAATTTATGGCTCTTCTGCTGATGAAATTGGTAGTTGACTGTGAAGGTAAATTTTTTATACTTTCCTACGGAGACTTTCAGTTTTTACATCAGTGTTGATACCTCTGCTATGTTGTAAAATACATGCCCACAGTTAATTCTTTTTAACCTTAAAAGGGACATAGAGGTTATTTCCTTTTCAGGAAAGAAAAAATATCAATCAGGTATATATAGATATATACTACCAGTTTATGAAGTATGATTGTGTGTTTAAAGGATGTGGTAATCCATATAACCTACTTAGACCCATTCGCAGGCCTCCACATGACCTTCAGGGAAGTGATGAGCTGGTTCACATTTCATGTAATCCTATTGTACTGCTTTGTGTCTATGTCCTGAAAGTAACGTTATCCAAATGTGTTCTTGCTATTATACTTCCACGATGACAATGTTTATAATACTTCTTTGATGACATACTGACACATCTGAAATTTGTGTTTTTTCGGCTTATAATACAATAAACCCTCTGAAATGTTTCTCACTGGCATTTTTTTCTGTTTCAGTCTAGTGCCAAATACATTATTTATGGAGAGACTTTTCTTTAATTACTAAACATTTTTAATCTGGTTATTGTTTCCACAATTAATTCATGAATCATTTGGTGTGTAAAAATAGTGAAAAAGCCCATTTACAAAAAAGGCTCAAGCTAACCTTTTAGACTGCAGTTCAAAACATCAAGATACTCAATATCAAATATTCACATTGGAGAAGACATAAACAGAATATTTGCCCTATTTGGCTGAGAGAAATTGATCAACTATCAAAATGATTGTTTATTAATTTTCTGTCGATTGAGAAATAGATTACTGGACTCATTTGATTGCATGTAAATACATTTTATTTGTCCACAAAAAACTATTACCAGGATAGTTTACATATATAACACCTGGGAAATAGACATAGATTACACATAATAGACACATAGATGCAAACGCCATGTTTGTGTTATGCCAAATTGTCCTAATGACCCTTAATGATGCCACTTAGCAACCAGGTATATTTGTTGCTTTAGACACGTCTGCTCTGCTGGAATGTGCAAATTTGTGAGGTGTTTACAAAAAGTGGACTCTACCATTAAATGGAGGGGGAGGGGTGGTCACTGTCAGTTTAGGCAACATTTTCCCGGTACACGTATAAAATGATACCCAGAGTAAGGCAATTTACACGGCGTAAAGCTCAATCTAAATGAGATCAAGATAATTTAAAGCCAAAATTATCTAAACTCGGTCAGTTTACGAACTCCGAAACGTGGTATCGTCCACCATTCTCTGCAGTCTGCAGTGGATATGGCGTCACTGAAAAGTGTAGGAGTCGAGAAACTTCACCTATGTAAATAACGTCAACAAGAGGAGCCATAGGCAGCAATACACAGAGCAAAGCTATATATATATATATATTTATATTTATCAGCTTATTTTTTAAGTATGCCCCGGAAAAAGCCATTTAGCAACAAGCAGAAGAAGAAACAGCTACAAGTCAAACGGGAGCGAAAGAGAGGTAACTACATTTGCGGTTAGCGTTACCATGCTAGCGTTAGCAGTTAGCCAACGGTTGTGGAGCACGAACTACGAACAATGTGTCTGTGTGATGTTAGGTTAAGTAATATTGTCGAGTAATCCTTTATTTAGCCCGTAAATTAAACCCCCGTGTTGTCTGTGAGCTAGTTGTAATACCTGGCATTGTGATATAACTTGCTTTCCAACTTGAGTGTAAATAGTAACGTTACCAGGCAATAGCAGAGGCGTCTGTATTTATTTTATTACTGAAGCGTTTAAAAAAAAAAAAAAAAAACTGCACATCCATTTGATCTCTAGCCCCCTAATTATACAAGGTCTAGTCCCACATTAGCAGAGGCTGTGTGTTAGTGTGCGGTCACCTAAAGAGCAACTTCAAAACAGCACTCAACAGTGGTGACATGTTGGCTCAGAGATTTCCATGTGCTTGTTATATATTGAAGGACCAGCACAGGACACAGCCATCAGACATGTGTTTGTGCGACTGTTCAGGTTGTTGTTTTTGCCAAAATACGAGTTAATGTTCAAATTTTTTTTAAATGTGGGCTCCATACCTTACTTAAGACTCACTAACACACTTTAAAAACTCCTTTAGGTCTTTCTGTGTTCAATTGTACCATGACTTGAATATTGTTAATTTTTATGTGAAGGCATAAAATGTCATCTGTTCAGAGTTAACAATCAACCCAGCAATGTAAACCAAGCAATGGATGTCTCAGCAACATTAACTCACTTATACACTTTGAATTTTATTAAATTGTGAGTATCTATTATTCTGAGTGTAAACAACCTGTCATTAACCAAGGTAAAATCATACAGTGGTTAATAACTAACATCAGTGCAGGAGGCCATTTTAGGGTCAAGGAAGACTTGTCATCAAGATGTCAGAACAATTTGATCGGGACTTGGTTGAGGACAACTGATTTGAAGCATATTAATATCTGTAATAGCTAATACGAGTGGAAAAAGATCTTGGTATTAAGAAAGCTGATTGGTGCGTGATGAATGCCTTTGTTTGACTGATCCCTGACCTTTCCCCCTGACTTCTAGGTGACACAGGTTCTGGGCCGAGCAGCCGCAATGCCAGCGTGGAGCGAGGAGGAGAACGACAGTCAGACACCTCAGACAGTGAGACCACTGATATTAGGAGCATAAATCAGCAGCCCTTCAGCAGAGAAGGTAGATATGACCCCAACAGGTGAGTTGTCAGTGTCATTACTAATACTCACTTTCATTAAAAGAATGGTATTTTGAAAGTATAAAGATTCTGCTGAGACAAATGCACATTGTGCACTGGGTATCTGTTATTTGACATTCAGGGATACCTGAAATGCATTGCTTGAAGCAGAAGTATGATGCTTGAATTAGCAAAAAAGTAGCTACTATGATAATTAATTGGAGACATGTCAGAACATCGATGCTGTATTTTAGTGACTTTGTTTGATTGGAAATTGCTTACAGTATCTTGATTGCTCTAATTTGGCAATAGAAAACACCACGCTGTGTGTAGTCACTGTTCTCCTCTAACATTAACTAAGACATCTGTTTGTTTAGTGTGTAATTTAAAGTTAAATCTAGACCCAATACTAGGCAATTACCTAAAGCCTGAGCCTTGTTGAAATCCCCCTTTTGTGCTCCTCTACTCAGGTTCCGACTGCACTTTGAAAAAGAGAGTAAAGAAGAAGTGGAAAAGAGGAAGAAGTTGGCCAGGGAGAAGGTGCTGCAGCCCGTCTCAGACAAAGTACTTGAGATCAGTATCGATGACATCTATCCCTCAGAGAAAGGTTCGGCTGTTTTTAATGCTTTCCACATGACGCTCTCAAAATAAGCCAAACAGATGAGCAGAGTAGGTTAATGGAGTGGGTCACGGCTTGACACACTCAAATTTGATTATTCACTGCCAGGTCTTGCTTTCCCACGACGGCCGCCCTGGAATTATGAGATGACACGAGAGAACCTGATGAGGAAAGAGGAGAAGTCATACAAAGAATACCTGGATGACCTGCACTCCAGAAACCCACCTGGCTCTCTCAGCCACTTTGAGCATAATCTGGAGGTAAATTACTTAATTGATACACTCTATTTACTTATTCCTATTAAAAATCATACTACTGCCATGATAATTGACGCAGCTTTATTTTTATTTTATATAGGTTCCTACATTGTGTTAGCAAGGTGGACATTGCTGTAACACACACACACACATATATATATATATATATATATATATATATATATTTTTTTAATGCCCCGGTTCAGATTATTTGTCTTTGTCCGAGCAATGAATCCAGTCAAAAGTCAAAATTCACTCCATTCTTTGTATTAAATCAATAGTAATACAGAACAGTTCAGACGTTTTTGTGGTGAACCAGGATTAGTTCTTTTTATTAACCTTCTCCGTTGTACATACTTGCTTTTGACCCTCTCTGCCCTCAATCTAAATTGTTTTCTTCAACTGAGGGCAGTAGGTTCAGCTTGCAACCATAGAATAATTTTTATTATACGATAACCAGGTAAAAACTCACCCTCATGGCACCGTTTCTGTGCAAAATGAGGATTTATAAATCCTGTTGAACTTTTTTGACAACAGATAATAGCATGAAGTAATCCTGCTTGTTAATGAGTTGCCATGAACTGAATATTTCCTTGTGGTAAAGTTGGATCATGTATGGATCTGTAAAAAGTTTATGACATACCTGTGTGTTGTCTGATATTTTCCACTGGAGACAAAATGCCATCATATTTTACATGCTTTTTACAGATTTTGCTCAGGCTGTGAAAGTGGTAATTCTAAAACTCTGCAGATCATTTAATTTCAAAGCGTGGGCTGAGCTCAGGAGGCACATCACAGCAGAAGCAGGGTTTGAGCAGCTGGTGCTGTGATAAGTGACTCTCAGTAATCTAGAGATGATCACTTTTTAAGTGGTGCTAAGGATCCAAGTGATGGAAAAAAACACTTGTATGAATAAGCTGCTTGTTTGTACTGGTTATTTTGCTTTTTGGGCTGAAAATTATTTTTGTGGTATTAAAATGGAGCATTATGGTAAACTGAATAATTAATATTAGTTTATTAGATATTTAAAAACTGCCGATTTTTTACCATTGTTTCCTAACAATTCTGAATAAGAACAGAAATTGTTTTGTTACAACACCAAACCTCTCCTAACTTCCCACTCCTTTTTTCTTTCTTTTAGACATGGAGGCAACTATGGAGAGTGTTGGAGATGTCAGACATCATCCTGCTCATTGTGGACATCAGGCACCCGGTAGGTGATCTTGTTAGCACAAGTCTGCAGGATGCATTAGACCACTAGATGGAGACACAGTCAACATCCAGATGAATATCTGACTTGGTGTTCATTATTTGTTTGTTTACCTGACACAATTTCAAAGTTGTCATGTTTTTGTTTGTCAGATTTGGCCACCTAGAAGAACTGTCCTTATGAGACATTATTTTTAGACTGAAAGGACACAGTCTTAATGCTTTAAGTTTCATATTGAAATTTTATATTGACCATTTGTTTTCTTTCACAAGCGTCTCATTAAATCTTACACGTATCGTTGTTGTTTTGTTGGTAAACTCAGGGAAAATGGTTGCATTCAAAGCCTAACTGTGTTCAAGATGTGTCTGTCATTTGATTCCAAGTTAAAATTAAACCCAGTTCTTTGGTTCTAATTATAAGACATCAGCTCCTGACATACTTATTCTTCTTTTAACAAGCCAGATATACTTTATGTCAAGTGAATTCCCTTCCTCTATTTAGAGTTTCCAGTATTAATTTGAAATTAAAAACAGTATCAACTCATCATGTTCCTATTAATAAGGGTGTTATCTGTGGTTTACATCTTTAATAGCCCATAATTGCTATTTTAACAAGGGGTATCCTCATGTAAACCCACCCAGGTGCTGCAGTTCCCTCCAGCCCTGTACCACTACATCACAGTAGATCTCCAGAAGCATGTGGTCCTGGTGTTGAACAAAGCTGACCTGTGTCCTCCCCCACTGGTGATCGCCTGGAAACACTACATGACCTCTCAGTTCTCCCACCTGCATATAGTGTGCTTCACCTCCCACCCTGGACAGCCCTACAGCACAGGTGAGGAGAGAAAGAGTAGGGGGAGGGTAGGAGGAGGTGGAGGGAGAAACTGATGGGATAAGAAAGGACTGTGCAGTGACACACATACAAAATGACTTCAGACACATACATATGACATTTAAATAAACCTGCCACTCAGTGAATTTATATAAGTGCAGTGTCACCAGAATAACTTGACCGGCTCCTGTTGCAATAATAATCTAAAGAATCTGTCTGTCTGTTCGTCTGTCTGCCTGCTGGCTTGTAGTGCTCCAGAAGAAGAGGGTGAGGAAGCATGCTGGCTGGAGTCACGCTGGAGGTCCTATAGATATCCTGAAGGCCTGTCAGGATATCACAGCAGGGAGAGGTGGGTGTTTGCCGCTCTTTATTTTTCATACATAATAAAGCCACGATAACACAGGCATCTGGCAGTTGTCCACTCTGTGAATTTGCGTCTTTGCACATTTGTGTTTTGATCCTCAAAGTGTTCCCTCTTGTTTTCAAAGTTGATCTATCCAGCTGGGAGCAGAAGATTCAGAGAGATGCTGTTTCTGAGCGACGGGATGGGGAGCAACCAGATGAAGGAGCCGAGTCGGTGCTCGTAGAGCATCAAAGTGACAGAGCTATGGAGATGAGCAGCCCATCCCAGGAGCTCTACAAAGATGGGGTTCTCACATTGGGCTGCATAGGTATACAGATGAGTTTTCTCAGAGAAAAGTCAGTGGAAGTTTCTTAGAATTATTACAAAACAATATCTTACTGAGGTAACTCAACTGGAATCTTTCAATATTTTCTAAAGATCTCATCTGTGTATTTGGTTTTGTTTTACTTGACTTGACGAAGATAACTGTATCAATATAATAAACACTTTTCTGTCCAATCCACTGGACAAAAGATTTGCCAAGAGTTATAGCTCTAAGTTGATCTGGGGATTCAATATTATTTCACCTTAATGTGATTAGGAAAGAAAACAAGGTCCACCCTATCTCTTATTGGACCTGTCTCTCGTGATAATACACTCGAATTTCATCTGATAGGATATGAAAAACGTGTCCATAAAGTAAATCACACTCCAGTCTAAAATACAGTAGTAAAAAGCTTCAGTGTCACAATCAATAAAGGATGCATGAACCAGATCACTGAACAACTTCAGGCTAGCATTACCAAACCTAATTAGGAACATCATTTGTACAAGTGAAAGACTGATCTTAAACCCATCTTATTTTTCCTCAGGCTTTCCAAATGTTGGTAAGTCATCTGTTATAAACAGCCTGGTGGGGAAGAAGGTGGTGAGCGTGTCTCGAACCCCAGGCCACACCAAATACTTCCAGACCTACTACCTCACCCAGACGGTCAAACTCTGCGACTGCCCCGGACTGGTTTTTCCCTCCCGTGTCGATAAACAGTTACAGGTACAAGCTCCCTTGAGAGCAGATGTGACTTTGAGTTTGCTTCCCTGTTTAAGCTCAATAGAAACTTAATTGTCTGGAACAGCAAACTCACACACCTCTGGGAAAATGGATTATTGATTTTATACATCCCCACTTGGTATCCTTCAAAGCCTCTTGATAATTCCGGGGTTGTTTGTGTGATGGTTTTTAAAGTTTTAAAATTATTTTGAACTTCTCTTTGATTTATTTCACTGATCTTTTTCTTTTTCCCTTTCATCTTTGCCTTTGTTTTATTTTCTCTAGATTCTGGCAGGCATCTACCCAGTGTCTCAGCTGCAGGAGCCCTACAGCTCAGTTGGTTATCTGTGCGAAAGAACCTCTTTCCTCTCTGTACTGAAGCTCAAACATCCTAGTTTGCTGGAGAACAAACCCCACCAAGAAAACCAGGGATCTGAAGAGCTCAGCTGGACTGCCTGGGATGTGTGCGAGTGTAAGCCAATTCTCAGTGATAGTAATTAAGTAATTTGTTGTATCTTCTAAGAGTTATATTATCATATAATGGCCAGTTCCCCTTAATAGACACCCTCAATCAATTGTAAAATCTTTACTATTTGAAAGTGAAATGCCAGTCCACACAGCCAAAGATGTGTAAGAGAGGCATTATTCTTTTATCTTTTTTCTTACTGTTAACAAATCTCATTGAAAAACTCAGTGCTTTCCTGACTTCCTTGCTCTTTCTGTGGCACCTAAGCCCATCTTTTACCAAAGCTCATTGTAAAGAAGAACATCCATTGATGTGTTGGACAACAGTGTAGGCCTATCGGGGGCTGAGCTACCTTGGGCTTTGGCTACTCAGATAATACTTTGCTTTACGGTTTATTCTTTTCATGAGTTTTGTTGGCTGTAAGAAAAAAAAGTATATCACCAGACTTATACTGTCAATAAGAGCTGGCATTCAAATGCTCCCTTTCTTTCTATCTCTTTTAGCGTGGGCAGATAGGGAGAGGCTATAAGACTGCCAAAGCAGCTCGCAACGATGTTTACCGTGCAGCTAACAGTCTCCTGCGGTTGGCAATTGATGGCAGATTGTGCCTCTGCTTAAGACCACCTGGCTACAGCTGCCTGAGAGGTAAAAGAGACACTTCCATGACTCATCATTTCAGCTTCAAGTGTATTTGAAAAGTTATAACGGCAGGTGGGTAGAATTAATTTATTTTGGGGATTATTTATGCTCTACAGAGCACTGGGAAAATCACCCAGACTTGCCGGAGATTATAGCTCTTCAAGGAAGGACGACAGAAGAGGAAGGAACGGGAGAGAGAGACGATGACGAGGACGGAGAGTCCAGCACCGAGCCAGAGGAAGAGAGAGACCGAGATGCAGACGATGATGAGGATGGAGATGATGAAGATGAGGGGTTAGGTCATCCAAGAAGGAGGGACGATAAGCCATCTGGCTTCACTGTCAACATGTACAATGTCCTTCGGGAAAATGAGTGCGAGTGATGATGGAGGGAAAGCCGAGCAGGAAGACATTAGTTGTTCCTCTTCCCCCGACTTTTCCCTGTTTACCCCAGTGCACCTTTCATTCCTTTCTTTCCTAAATCTGCATTCCTTCTCATTTATTCTTGCGCCTCAACTCCTCATTTCACTACACGATCTCTTCTAATTCATTGACCCAGTTTCTCCCTATAATATACAGAGCATATTCATGTATTACATGCTGTGCCTCTGCTCTGCTTGTTCATCCTCAACGCTTATTCTTTAGTGTTGCTTCTAAGAATGAGTTTGGTTTGGTTTGATTTAATCTTGTTTTTGTTTTGCACGTAGTTCTCAGAAACAATTGAACAAAGTAACTTCCCTCAACCTGGAATAATCAACCAACTGGTTTTCAATCTCTTTATTGATAAGTGACTTCACAGCTGTGATGCCAAAGTTCAGGAAAGTATGATAAAACAAATCAGAAGCACTGTCGATATGATGTCATTCACTGGAGCAGCCATTTGGCTCTCCGAGCAGCTGGAGATTTAAGAACACGACTCTAAATCTTCTTCATAGACCATAGTTTGTCACAACTTTGGTTAAAGGGTTTGGGATGGGATATGGGAGATATGAGACCATAAAAGTGGAGTGGATAAAACCAACATTTTTACACACACAACTTTGCTGTTACCAGTATTACGGCTCTATTAGAGGTTCATTTATCTGAACTGGGTTTTGATTATACTGTATCTGAGAGGGATATTTGATTTGGTGTGGTTCTACACAGTCAGCCAGAAATAAAAAAAACTGGGATGGGGGGAGGGAAGAGTAGTTGAATCCTGTATTGCTGCACAAGGCCGTTTCAGGAATTTAACATGTAGTGTTTTAACTACTACAAAAATTATCCTTAGATGCTGATGGAGATCAGGATTTTGGCTACACTCATTCAGCAAGTTAATATAATAGTGTCAGTACAGTGGGTTTGATTCAACAGATCAGGAATAGTTCCACAATGTGGGAAGTATGTTTATTGGCTCCATTCCCGAGAGTCAGATGAGAAGAGAGCTGCCACTCTTGTATCTGTCTGGTAAATATGAATTTGGAGCCAGGAGACGTTTAGCTTAACTTAGACTGGAAACAGGAGGAAGTATATAGCCTATATCTGTGCAAAGGAAACACAGTAGAATTTAGTGGCATTTAGCAGTGAAGTTCTAGATCGCAACCAACTGAATACTGCTCACTTTCCAACAGATTCTCCTAAATGTTACACACTGGACCTTTTTTTTTAAGGTGCTGTTAGGCAGATTTTGTCATATTTGGACAGAACCAAGCTAGCTATTTCCCCATGTTTCCCGTCTTTGTACTGAGCTTAGATAACCAACTACTTGATGTAGGCTCATACTTACCGTACAGACACGAGAGTGGTATCAGTCCCTGAACAAGTGTATTTACCAAATGTCAAACTATATCTTTAACCACACAGAAAGAGAGACTATCTTGGCTTCCATCTGTCCATCATTATAAATAACATTACACACTCCATCTTTGCTCTGTTGTTGGTTTTATAGACTATAATTTCAACACAGTGCTCAATTTCAAGGTCAGATCTTGTAATGCTGTTAAGACACCCGCTGCAGACAATTCTCCTTCTCTGTTCATCAACCATGTTTTGATCAAATCTTCTGATAAATTTAGAACAATGGACATTTTTGCTATTTGACGGGTCTCTCTTTCTCTGTGATGTGCCATGGCCCCCGCTCCAATCCTGAGTGCTGTATTATTGTGTGCTGTTGTCTTACCTCATTCATGTGTTCACTGAGGGATCTCTACAGCACAGTGCTGTGTTACTGTGTAATACATCACACTGCAGTCACATGCAGTCATTTCTACCAACACTACTATGCTGTTAGACACACAACAGACTTTGAGTTGTGTTAATGTGGTTTTTTGTTTTATTTTTGGGGAATTATTAAAACTGACAGCGTCTGGAGAGTGTAGTGTGAAGGCTTGAGGTGTGTTCAGGCTATTGGCTGCATTCCTCATTTCATTCCTAGTATGCGTAATGATGACTGGACTGCTTTCTGCAATAAAAGAAAATAATCCTCTCAACTAAATTGTCTGTTTTTGTATTTTATTTAAAGACATTAATGTGTGTAAGATAATGCATGCAGGTTATCTAAACCCTCTCTTATTGTTTTATTAAAAAAGACACACATGAATCATGCCAACTCATTTCAAATGCACATAATTAAACTGGGAGTAGATTATGTGTGAACTTTTACTTTAAATATTTGAGCTTAATTGTAGAGGAGATTTGTGATCAAAGTGGACAGCTTGGACATGTTTGGATGAGCCTTGTCAGACATTAATTACACATCTTACACTGCCTGAATGTCAAATAGACACAGAGTTATAAATGTATTCTCATGGAGATGTTTGTGCTTTATGGTTATAGTTGTCTTGTAATAAGTCATGGGACTTCTTTTTATGAGTACCAGAGACAGATAATTACTGCAATGAGATGTACTGATACTAACGATCAGCAGCGCCATATTCAGATCTAATCAAAATCCTTCCAAACTATTCAACTGGTACATTTCCAGATGGACGATATTTGAAGCAGAAGCACCAAAGGCAGTAAAACGTTTACCACAAAATAATTAAGGAAGATCTCAAGTTATTAAAAAGCTTGAGCTCTCATTGTATAATTATTTTAAAATGTTGCTGTTTAATTACACGTAAAACTAATGCTGGAGACACTATATTAGTATCTCTGGGATGACCAGTTCCAATTTGTCCAATGCATTATGGGATATACTCCAACCTAACCTGTGTGGGAAGTATAGCAAATGGATGTATACATGGTCCAATGTTAACATATACGAGCTTCTGCCCGTGTAAATAAGATTGAAGGCTCAAAGAAACACACATTTTATTATAGGCAGTGCTTGAATGTGATTTATTTGCTCTATTATTATGCTCTGATCCCCTCAAGAGCGAGGAAGAGCATCAACAGTCTCTTGAAAAGATGCTGCAGCAGTGGGATATGTTGTGAGCCTCCTTTTATTATAATGGAGTTTGTTTATCAAGGCAGTTCTAATTTTCATTTTAAATCCACTGTTTATCTTACATGACTACATTTAATAAAACAGGATATACATGGCAGGAAGAGAGTGGCTCTATCAATAAAACATAACCCCAAGCATTGTCCGCTGCTCCGCTGCTTTTATTAACTGTGGAGCATATGGAATAAATAATCACCTCTCCCAGCTTCTAATAAAATTGTTTCTATAGTCATGTGTTAAAATTTTGAAATATATGCCAGAGATTTATGTCTCATTTGAGTGCTGTATGTCACCATCATTATAGGATGACTGTATTGATAGCGCTAGTCAAATTATTCACACTCTTGACGCCTATCCAGTCCTCTTGTCAGAGTAAATCTGGCTGCAGCTATTATCTCATTATGTTTATTGTGACCCATTGGGCACCGTTCATAGGCGAGCTGAGACGGCATGATGATAATCACCACTGAGGACCGCCATAATCATTATTTACGGGATGGAAGTGGGTGGAAATCCCCTCATCTTGCATAATTTGGATTCAGTGCCAACTTGTATGGTACTCAGAGAAGCTATTTGCTGACTAGATCAACTCTGAGGGAGGAAGAGAGGAATCATCTGGAATTGTTTCCGATTTGCAGCCAGAGCCATGAGCTGCTTAATTTCCCCAGCTAGAGCTCTAACTATGTTGTGGCCCTCAAACCTGTATGGCAGTAATTACAGCCAGACAAAGGCCCCAGATTTACTGGAGCATGACACCATAAATTTCAAAACCGTTAATTAAGTTCTGCTGTGTTAAATGTCTTTGCTGCCAGCATCGGTCACGCCTGTAATGCCCATGTGGTTTGAATTTGATCTTTTCTATTCTTTTATTTTTTTCTACTTGGAAAGCTTTCTCATGACGCCATCAGGTTGTTGTGGGGGACTCTTGCCCACTTCCTCCCCCCTCTCTCTTATTTGCCCTATTCCTGCTCCCTATGTGACCCCCACTAACATGTGGGTGAGACCAGGGAGTAATGAATCGGTTTCATATGAGAGTTGGAGCATAAGCAGAGCAGAGAAATTCATTAGTCTTGTTTTATACGCTCCCTTGGGCACTACACACACACACACACACACACACACACACACACACACACTGACAGGTGAGACATACATACAGGTGAGACGGAGAGAGGGAGCTGGAAGTTGTAAAAAGCTTTTAGGATGACAGAGAACAACAATTGTCACAAGTGTGTTTCATTAAAAAACTAAAACTAAAATCAAATGTCCCAGCTGACTTTATAGAAATAACCAAACTGCAGTTAAGTCTCATTATACTAAATTACAGTTCTATATCTCAGCTGGCAGGTACACCTCTGTGGTCACTAGAGGGCTATCAAAGCAAGCATTAGTGAGTTTACTCTGCAGTTAATAGTCAGGTGCACCATGCTGATTGTTCACAGGCTTCTCATTTGTGGCGTTAATATAGTACGAATGTGCAGTAATGTGTTACATGATATTACAACCATGGTCAGTTTTATCACCTTTAGAAAGGTGGGTGACAAATTATTATTAGGGTCAGTAGTGGAAGTATTCAGATCTATTTCTCAATTACTCAAAACAATCTGAAACTACACCATTACAAGCAAAATTCATCTGTGTTGGTTTTGTTTTTGTTTTTTAACTTTTTTGTGAAATAATATAATAATAATCATTTAATCTGAGTTTAGAGGTGAAAACAATTCATGACATCTGAAACATGTGAAGTGGCTTCAACCACCTAATCTTTAACCAAGCACTATATTTAGTTTATTGTGTAAAATCTTACTCTGATAATAAAACAAATTATTAACCCCAGTTAAATAAATGTAGTGGAGTAAAACTACAGTATTTTCCTCCGAGATGTACTGTCGTTGAAGTATAAAGTGACAAAAAATGGAAGCACTTGTGTAAAGTACAAATACTTTAAAGTTGTACTTTACAATAAAGGCACTTTCCACCACTGATGGGTTGATTTCTGTCACGCACACAGATCACAGATCAGCCTGAATACAGTCGCTTACAAACAGCTTTCATACCTGCAGTTAGCAAAGCTGTTGTTTAAGGTTGAACTAGAAATCTCTATTTTGCTTTGTTAGCAGAGTCACACACTTTTCATTCATATACAGAGACCACACACACACACACACTCACACACACACACACACACACACACACACACACACACACACACACACACACACACACACACACACACACACACACACACATACACACTGATTTACAGCTCGGACAGTTGTCCCTCCAGTCAGCCTCCTGGTGCTTCAGCAGTGCTGTGGGGGGTGACAAGGCCTCGGCCCTGCAGATTAGATATCCTCATTTGCTTGTTCTTATGTTAACCATCATCTGAAATGGTGGAAATTAACTAAGAACACAACTACAGTTTTTAGTTACTTAAGCACAAAGAGGTATCCATTCCTTTTTTCTTTACAACTTTACAACTCCATTAATCATCTCACGACACCTTATTTTTCTTGTGAGCCTTTTCAGGGGCCTGACCCCCAGGCTGGGAACCACTGAATTAATAATACATAGAGTAGTTGCTTGCTTCACCTCAACCAGCTACAACAGTAAAATGCTACTTATGCATTTTTACATTGTCTAATAAAGTCAAATATAATGATTTATCACTTACAGGGGCCATTGTTTCTGCAAGACCAGTATTTAATTATTTTTTTGCTGACAATACTTCTGTACTTATACCTTCACTTGTAATGGAGTAGTTTTACATTATTGGTACTTTTTTCTACTTGGTACTATTCTTCCACCACTGAGATTGTGTGATGAGAGGTTTTTTGGAAGTTTTGGTGCAGGTGTTATCTGTTTTTAAGGTCCCTTCAGGTCAAGTCTTTCTTTGTCAGGCCAATCGTATAGACAGTAGAAATAGATCTGTACTGGGTAATATAAACACACTGTCACATAAGAACTCACCCAGGTGAACACCACACCCATATTTTGTTATAATGGCTCTGAAAACTGAGTACAATGAGAAAAAAACAGACTGTTAGCATCTCTTTTCTTCAGGCAATGAACACTTGGCATACTGTCCCAGCAGTATGTCATCGAGAGGTAAACGCATAAACAATATCTTGCCACAGTGAGCATTCAACACAATGTGTGCAGAGCAGCTTTCCCATATTCCTCCTGCAGAGGGTCACAATATGGCAGCTGGGTTTGTTTGTTCAGAGGACTTGTAGCTTGAGTGTGGAAAGGGCTTTGAGCTCTCCAAAGCACAAAGGACAAAGCACAAAGCACTGCCGATGCAAACTTAGTGTTTAATACTTCAGTTTTAATGAAAATAGCAGTGGCTTTATGTGTTTTAATTGTTACAATTGGTGTGTGTGCATGTTTTTATATATATACGTAGCTTTTAGCGCTCTTGTGTGTGTTTCTCTGCTTGGTGGTGCATGAATGAGACCTCTTTAGTCACTGCCTTGTGTGTTTGTCTATGACCCTGTTTGTGAGTTGGAGCCCATGTGTCAATAGGTATTTTTAGCACCACCTCTCACTGCATTGCAATGGCACTCATTCGCACCCCTCTGAGTCACCCCCGCCACCCTCCTCACCCACCCGGCCCGTCCTCAGCACCTTCCAGTTCACCACACATTCACTCTCACTGGAAGGAGCCAGCAACAGTCTGCCTGAAAGTTTTAGAAAATGGAGGTGAGTTTCTGATTAAGGAGTGGCGATGGGAAGCAGATCAGACATGGGTTACCATGGCAATAAAGTCTTCAGGCAAGGCGTTGAAAATTGCTCCATAACATTAGCTGAGTTTTGTTTCTCCCTTGAGCTTTGGCCAATTTGAATATTAATTAAAATAATTAAAGGATAGCTATAATTATATGTCTTTACACACACACACACACACACACACACACACACACATACAGAGAGAGAGACTCTGGGAACATGACATGACTGTTGGTAGCGATCAGCCAAGTTAAACTACTGTTTGAGCTAAAGACGAGGGGTGTGGAAAGGCTAAACATGTAATTGGTAAAGACAGAAGGCTGGAGGGCCAGACAAAGAAGATCAGAGCACATCCGATGCTGGTTACAGTGAACAATTCCCAAAGCTCTATTGTTAGCAAGGCAGGGAGATTGGAGAAGAAAGGGAGGCCATTCATTCAGCGGCTGGCTCAGACAGGTGAAGAGAGGAGGGAGGGAAGGAAAAGGGAAGTACAATCCTAGAGGGGCTGGAGTGACAGTTTGAACAGAAGGCGACAGTTGTAGAGGAGCCTCCCAAATGCCATAGCAGAGGCTGTAGTCCTCCACACTGTCAGATGTGTGTGTATGTGTGTGTGTGTGTGTGTGTGTGTGTGTGTGCAAATGAATAGCAGGGGATTTCTGAGGGGGGAGAGAAACCTGACACCCAAAAAGAGTCTGCATCCCCCCTATACCTCCCTCCTCCTCCACCTCCAGCCATGAGGAAAAGGAGGCACAAGTGCGCTGCTACAGCTGAGACGGTCTCCAGGGACTCCTGACTGTGTGAGGGGTCATCTGGAACGCCCTACCAACACCACCACCACCACCAACAACACCCGTCAGCCCTCTCAGCCCTCCCTCTCTACCAACATTCCCCTGACAACACTGAGCTCATCACACTCCACACACATCCAGCTGCGTGATCACAAGGACACTTCAGGCAGGATAGGATTTGTCCAGCAGATACTTAAATCGTTGAGAGAGTCAGCATGGTATCAGCCAGCTAAATTAATCTGTTACAGCAAGTACTTTCCCCTGTCTATAAGCACTGTTTGGTTAAAAAAGAACGAAAAGAGTGCTTGAAAAGACTGTGATTTCCTCTTACAACATCATTTTAAACACAAAATCAAAACATGTGAGGAAGTCTTCAAGACAATGAGCCCTTTTTTTGACGGAATGATGAACACTTCAAAAGTCTGAATCATCACTTTAAATGAAGACCACGATGTACTGGGATGACAGTGTCAGCCCACTACTTTGGTCCTCTCTGAAATATTTCTGTTGGATGGGTTGCCACAAAACTGTGTACAGACATCCATGATTCCCAGGTGATGCATCCTAATAACTGAGTGTTCCTCTAGCGCCACCATGAGGTTAATATTTGTGATTTTGAGTGAATTAACATGAAATTTGGTACAGTTGTTCTCCTCCTCAGGACTGTAATAACTGACAGACACCTGCTAAATAAATGCCATTCCCACCAGCTTTCCCTGTAGCTTGTGTTTGGTGCTACCACAAATGTTAGTGTACTAATATGCAATCAAGGCATGATAGCATTTAGCTCAAAGCAGTGCTGTGCCTAAGTACAGCCTCACAGGGCTGCAAGCATGGTCTCTTAATCTTACAATATTTCAACAATCTTGAATCCAAAAGCAGAAACAGGAAACAAACAGAGACGTCAGAAAAGTCAAGAGAGCTCTGTGGAAAGTGAGAGGAGCTGATGACATGACCGTTTTCCTCACAGATCACCTAAAAAGAGAGCTCCAGGGCTGTGACGCACATCACCCCCCCCCCAGCCCCCTGGGGCAGACGCTGACCCTGTGACCCCTGACACCTCTACCGCTCCCAGATCCTCTCCAGGGGCCAATCAAATACAACCTGCCCCAGGCCTGTGACACTGATCCTGACAGAGCACAGACAAGTCACAGTAAACAGACATTAGGGGGGAACACAGGGGTGAATGTAGAGTTGTACAAGAAACACGTATGCACACTCTCACACATTCATAGATGTATGTTTAAACCAAACCTGGACCTCAAGTCACACATGAATGTGAAAAAACAAGGTATTTTGTGGCAAAAGGAGCTGTGGGGCTCTCTAGGGCTTTCACTGACCATCGCAAATCTGAGACATTTATTGGTTTGGGATATTCCCAGTGAAAAAGACAGTGGCGGAGATGTTTCAGAGGGTAGTATGCTTGGCATGTGGTTTTACGCCGGTTCCCAACATACTGCAAGCTTCGCATTCTGCAACTGATCTGTGTTGTCTGAATCCTGCAGCCCTGCACAGCTGTCAGACCAGGGCAGGGGGTGGACAGGCTGCCTGTGTGTGTGTGTGTGTGTGTGTGTGTGTGTGTGTGTGTGTTGTCTCATGCCTTTGAGTTGAACACTTCCAGATTCAGACGTTTATTTTTTTGGACTAAAGTGATGTCAGAGACGTGATAAATTCAAGCTTTATATTTAAAATGACAAGGCAATAAATCATCCACAATCTTTCTTCTTCTTGACAGACCATTGATGTTCGAGGCAAACCATTCTTTCTCTTTCTCTTTATCTGTCTTCACCTAAGTGCTTTCTTGTCCTCACTGACTTATAAATGCAACACAACTTGAACTTCTCTCTCTCTTTCTCTCTCTCTGCTCATCTCTCTCTGTTAGTCTCTCTCCGTAAGTCTCTCTCTGTTAGTCTCTCTCTGTTAGTCTCTCCCTTCAAGTGAATTCCTCACAGGATCAGACCTGCTTTTTATGCTCCACTGGTTTTCACTCAAAGCGAGAATGAGTAGAGGGGGAGGAGGGAGAAAAGGGGGGTTTAGTGACAACAGACCAAAACTCTGCGGAGGAATTGAGCATATTTTTGTGAAAGGGGAAGAAAAAAATATATGAAAAAGGATCAGAAAGTGAGACACAAAAAGAATAAGAGAGAAGAGGCACAGGGTAGAAAGGAAATAATACTGAAAAAGGTCATTATTTCTGCCAGGGGATTTGCAGTTGCCCGGACAACGAACAAAGCAGAGCCAGCTGGACGATGTGCACAACAGAAAAGGCTGAATAGAGAAGTGAACACTTTTGAGAGTGAGAGAACAAGAACTGTGCTCATCCACAGGAGGAGAATCGGCTAACATTTTGTCAGTGAACGTCATGGATAATAACTCTCAAATATCCACAGTGATTTCTTCATCATCCCTTTAATTGTCTAACTTTATTTATTTTTTATTTGTTTAGCGTTATTGGAAAACAAAGTTTAGAGAGAAAACCAACGCCTGTATGAAACCGACTCAAGTGAACCAGAAAACATGAATAAATCATGATCCTATCGTGGCTGAACAGAGAAGAAAAGATACAAAAAAATACTGCTCACAATATTTTTTTTATGTACGGAAGTGGAGGAGGGAAGCTTATTAAACAGAGAGAGAGAGAGAGAGAGAGAGAGAGAGAGAGAGAGAGAGAGGAGTGGTTTGGTTTGGTTTAGCTCTGAATTGAAAAGTGGTGAGAGACTGTTAATGATATGCAGGGAGAATGAGGGCAGGCCAGACGCAAGTCCAGCTAAAGTATTTCTAAACACAAAGAAACTTTGCAATGGCACTCATTCGAGAGAGGGAAGGAGGGAGGGCGAAGGAGTGAGGACGGGGAAGTGGAGGGGATTCAAGATTAAGAGTAGAAATTCATAAAAATCAATTGAGAATAGATTTTTTTTTGTGTTTGTGTGCATATACATGACAGTGTTTTTGTATTTCACTTTAACGACTTTATTTCAGTAAAAAACATTTGACTTTTTGACAAATATGAGCTTATACAAGATGAAACACACACACACACAAAAGAAAACATTGGGCAGAGAGTGTATCGGTGTTTCTCTTCCCTGTTTATCCAAGGTGGAGCTCAGAGTGAGTTAAATGACCTTTATTGTCCCTCACTGCTGATTGAGCACCAGCTAAAGTTTCCCTCCTCTCATTCAGTCGGGCAAGCACCAACACATACTGTAACTGGTGCAAACTCTTTCTGTGTCTGACTAGTTCAACTTTTGATGTAATTCAGCATACACACACACACACACCCACGCACACACCCACGCACACACACACACACACACACACACACACACACACACACACACACACACACACACACACACTCACACTCACACACACACACACACACACACACACACACACACACACACATGTGGCTCTTTTAAAACATGAATTCCCATTTCACTCCTGCCTTGCCTCGGGGTCCCATATCAACAACTCTCCTGGTTCCAGCATCGCTGTGTTTTACTGCAAACCCTTCAATCTGAGTCATTATAGCCCAGGGCCAGTAATGGTATACAGTTACACCACCAATACTCTGTAATAAAGTTTCCTTTAGAGGTAAATACCAAGGCAGAGCCTAGTGAGTCTACATTAAATGGCCCAGGCCAGATGCTGAGACTTCACAAGTTTATATGATCAAATAATCTGCTTTAAAACAGCAGAGCAACATTTTCTTACATGCAAAGGGTTAACAAGGTGAAAGCACTCTGCGTGCTGCTGTATCATATGTCATATACCCAAAATCTCAGCGTTGCTGTAACAAAGAAACTCCCATTGGCCCCAAAGGCTCCACATTGAATTTCACTCTACAGTGTTGTTAAGGTCACAGCTCCCGCCCACAGGGATCACTGGTTGGATGGCGTGCCTGCTGGCATATTCAATCAGACACCTTGCTCGGAGCTGTGATTGGACACAGCCGGTGCAGTTATGTAAATGAGCACCTGGTGGCGCTTGCTGGCCCGGCTGCGGAGCCCGGACTGAGGTTGGAGTGGCTCAGAAGAATCAGAGAAGGACCGAAGCGCAGCGAACCTGGACGGTCTATCGCTCTTTTAAAATACATTTCCCCTCTTTGTCAACAAGTTGTGAAAGTATCCACCCCATGAGTGGTAGATGAAAGTCAGGCTGCGGGTTTAATATCATCGGCAGTTTCGGATAAATTTGTTTTTTTGAGTTTTGACAGAGGTCGTTCACTGCGCGCTACAGCAGCTCCACAGCACCGTTTGGATTACTCAGTGGACGTGTTGTTGTTCAGGGTAAAACACAGCTTTATTCGTCTAATACAGACTTCACCGAAAAGTTTGGACCGCTGTCAAAGCGCACTTCTACGTGTCTTTTAGGTAAGTACCGACGAACTCCTTTTAAATCCTCCGCGCGTTTCCTCTCCGCGCACTTCACTCCATAATAAGCGGCTATAATAATATTGCAGCGGATATTTCCAGCTGTCTGTGTGTAAGTCTGTGTCTGCCTCTCACTCTGTGGCTTGGCGTCTACAAGTCTCGTTGTGAGGCGGGCACGGCAGCTCTGGACGCTGGCCACGGACTGCTGGGAAGCGCATGTGAGGTGTAACGTTGCGCCCCGGGGTCTGTGCACGTTTGTGTGGCAGATGCTTTGTGGCATAAATCGACTGCGTAGCTGAAATATCCTGACAGTGTAGACTACATCATGGTCTGGACTCGTTGCAAACTGTGCTGTTCAACATCTTGCTAAATGTGGGTCCCTGGCAGCAGAGGAAACATTATTCAGAGTCCTGATTTGTGCCCGTCATCATTTCCAGTCTGTACCCAGTGACTCCTAAACTGTACTAAGGGTTTGGTTAAGCTGTCACCAGTCACTCCTTTCTTCACAGTCTGTTAAACTCATTCTTCCCTTGGTTTACATCGCACCTCATTCACAAAAACACACACAGACCTCCCAAGTTAAACAAAAGTATTTCTTCTTGGCATGTCAAGGCTTTAAAACCGCAGCAGCCCTGATGAATGGGTCAGTAAAATGTCTTGATGTTCAGGACTTCCACAAATCCAGGTGGTGGTCATCACACCCACCATTAACCCTGTGACCTCGCAGCCCCGCAGGTGACCTCCAAGGAGACCATCAGCTCTGGTTTCATTCACCTCTGGCCTTAAATGGTTCTCCTTTTAGAGCAAATCAGTCCAAAACCTTAGATCATCACAGGGTGGCCTGGCACTGTAAAGGAGAAGCTGTGTTGATACAGAAAACATTTTCAGACTCTTGGGTAGGAGCTGCCAGAAGGTTTGGACCTTAAACTGAATACACATTTTGTGTTTTCATGATTCAGGAAAAGGGGAGGTAAAAGTGAATCAATCATGTGTGAAATAAATTATTCTCATCTTCTCTGTGAACAGGACGATGCTGAAATCAAGACAAAGTTACGCTCTGAAACTGCATATATCAGCTTTTGTGCCTCAGTTTATTTGTGCGAGGCAGAAAGGGACAAAAGGAGAGAGAGAGGTGAAAATGTGGGCGTGATTGCATGTGTTTCTATTGCCAGCTTGTTCCCGTGTGTTTGTGCGTGCCTCTGTGCTTGCAGGGAGTCGGAGGTGACCTGATGGAGGAGTTAACAATGGGCTTCAGTGGGTGTGCGGCGCAACGGGGCAGTCACCTTTCCCACCACATGAGAACGGTACATGTGCGTAGTTTGTTGGCCGGGGGACTGAGCAGGCAGCCCAGAGGAGGTGTAGCGTTGTTAGACTGCTGGGAGGAGGAGGTGTGGGGGGGTATGCTATTTGCCAATAGATAGAGAGGCAATAAAAGCCAATTTTCTCTCCCTCTCTCGCTCTCTCTCTCTCTCTCTCGCTCTCTCTCGCTCTCTCTCTCCATCCCTCCCTCTCTGCCTCTGTAGCAAAGGCAGGGGCATAAAGTGAGGAGGAGCCCTGAGTGTGGGTACACAGTCCCTCACAGCAAAGCACAGGTCTGGTGGATGCCTGTCTAATGGGCATCTGGCTGCTAATTCTCCCACAACGTCCCACGAGAGCCATTGGCCCTGTGTAGCTGCTTTTTATCAGCAGTGCAGTCCAGCAGAGGAGAAGCAGAAGAATATATTAAATAGTTGGATATACCAGTTATGTGAGTATAATTGTGCATGCACACACATGGGGAACAGTTGTTTTTTATTGATTAGTCTTTGTCTTGGCAGGCTTAGGAGAAAACGACATTAATTGCATAATATGATTTGTGGAAAAGTGTGCACAGAGCAAAGTAATTCGTCTGTGTCTGTGCAATGGCGGCTTATTATTTGTTTTGTTTCAGTCTTTAGAGACTTTGAGACTCAGCAACAAAAGTCTTAAGTCGAAGTAAGAAAAAATTAACTGAGTATTTGCAGTTTTGCATTATTGCTGAGAACAGACACATGCGTGCCTGTGCTAGTTTACACGCACACACGCACACAAGGAAGCACTACTTGGTCTTGTCTGGTTGATCATTGACCTCAGTCTGTTGTCCTCTATCTGGGTCATTGTTCTGGTGGCAGTCAGGCTTTGTGTCTTTTTGTTTCTGGTTGTTGACCATTCTGAAAAGACTTTTAGCAGGTGGATGCAAATTCAGAAACCCAAAAGCATTTCTGGCACAATAACTGAAAATGAGTGCTTTGCACAGTTGCCGGATCTTGATGGCAGTGTGGTTAATGTGGCTAGTTAACCACATGAAAGAGCACAATGATGATAACAATGTTGTCAGTCCAGTCTTTTTTTTTTTACTTGACTTCTCTCACGGCGATCATGTATTAGGCAGCGACTGCCCTAAATTCTGTGTTTGCTAGTAATTGGCTCCCAACAGACTGAGCAGGAACCTCGAGGCCAGTGGAAGAATTCATTTAAGTCCAAAGACACGACACGGTTACTCGCCTCCCCTCTCTACAGTCCCCCTATAATGGGAAATGAAACCAATTGAAGGCACTGTCCACCCTGTTTTCCTGAACCAATTTCCCCTCAAGTCTAGACAGCTGGACTTTTCAATTGCATTTGCCGTATGTGTGGTCACATGCAGAGCGAGCTCGACGAGACTGTCAGAGAAACAAATTCATCGAGTAATGGGTGTTGACACTTCAAAGCGTGATGTGGGGTGTGCTTGTGCTTCAGATGTCAGTGAGTTCTCAAATCCCTATTTGATTTCCTCACTATGAATCTCCATCTCCAAGGTCCTACATTCTTTCAGATTAGCCCTCCCCACCCCTCTGGCACGCCTTCATCCCTCTGTCCCTCCATCCAGCATACCTTTGATCCCCTAATTGATCATTCTGGCAATCTGTCTCTCTCTCTCTCTCCACATCTAACATGGAAAACACACTCTCCCTCTTCATCTTCTATCTCTCCATTCCCTTTGAAGCAGCTCTAGATGTTTCATTTATCCACAACCCCCCCCACCCTCCTCCTTCCTCCTCTCATCCATCTCATCCTCAGCCTCCCTTCTGCTATCGTCCCTGTGAGTCTCCTCATTTATCTGTTTGCTCTTCCCGTCGAGGGTGCCCTGGTTAGATAACAATGTTGCTGCTTGGATGTAAGCAAACCGGGGTCATATTTTGTCTGCTGAGGTTTATTCAAAGAATTTGTCACAGTGTCTTATCAAGGTATCTCAGGCCTTGGCTTGATGCCTCATATTAGCTCACAGAAATGCATCTGCATATTTTTGGCCTATTTTGGATGCTAATATATGATTATAATTCGTTAACTATACACAAAATGTAGAAATTGGCAAGTAATACCTCCTTAATGTATAATTTCTCTGCTGTAATACATGTTTTATGACTCAGAAATAAAAAGATGCTCTCACTAAAAGAGCACTCCCTATTGATTTAGCATTGCACTCCAACAGAATCGGAATTTAAGCAGCAGAACCGCAGATATTTTATTCGACACATTCTACTCTAACCTGGAGCCTACATTACCCACAAGTCAACTTGACGGTGAACAGTTCGCTCTGAGATTCAGGTGTGTTAAGGTGTGTGAGGCAGCTAATGTAGCCTCGAGCTGTTTGCCTCACGCAGAGATGAGGAGCGGGCTCTAGAGGTCTGGTAACCTCACTTCTTTCTAACTCCACACCCCCCAGATCTTTTTTCATTTTCAAACGTGTAGTCTTCAACAAACGTTGCTTCAAGCGACTTCGCTTGAGGCAGTTTATCAGACATCATTTAGTTCCCTCTGAAGCCGCAAAAGGCTTTATAGAACTTCTTTTCACAAATAAAGTTTTGCTCACCTGTGAACAGACTTTGATATTTAAGATTGATGGATTTCCCCCCTTAAATCACATATTAAGTTAACCATCTAATGGGCAGAGGTTGCTAATGCTGAATCCAGTGAGCTGAAACCAACTGTGAATCATGCCGAGCTGCTTCACACGTCTCGCCAACAACTGGCAGTTGAAGTTATCGCTTCTGGATGAAGTAGACAAGCCTTATGAAAGATGGAAAGTCTCAAACTTAAAAGCCAGTGTGCACTCTGTTCTCTCCCTCTTGTCCCTTTCTTTATTTTCAGTTTTTTTTCTCTCCCGTCTCTGTTGAAATCTTCACACTGTGGTGGTGTTTCCGTCCGAGCTGCTAGCACACAGCGTGCCTCTCGTGGCTCAGTATGCCCACTAATAATTACTAATGGCTTCTGGCAAAGTAGGTGCTTTTGAAACCTTGTTGGAACATGGAAGAAAATTGTGTTCAACATCAAAGGTGACTCTTTTTTTAATATGTCTTCTCTTTGTGTGATGGATTTGGGTTGTAATGACATCCACAGCTTGGGGGGCGTACCTGTCTCTGTCTTTCCCTCCCCGGGGTTTTGAGGGGCACATTAGCATCAGGAAACTGTTGTCTGATGTGTAATTTAGCTCTTTTTAGGAGGCTTTTTTCTGCCGAGAGGGAGGAGGAGGAGTGTGATAGAGGTATCAGCCTGTGCCTGAGGCTTTGAACAGAGATCAATTGTGTGTCCGCGTGTGTGTGGGTGCGCGTGTGTGTGGCTTGAGTTTTAGCAAGCACAGACCCTATTGTTGGGTCCTAATTGGCTTTTGTGTGATTGTATTTTTCTGTTTGCCCACTGCAGGAGCTAAACATTAAACAGCTCAGAGACTTCTGAAAACCTTTTCTCTCTCTCCTCAGCTGTCGTTCATTAGATATGAGAAGAAGACATCTGTTAGAGCGCTGGGTCAGGCCGGACTGTTTTTCTCACTTTGACTCAAAATGCTGAGTCTCGTTGAACTCATTCCAGTTTGACCTGATCTCTCCACTTTTTCTTTCTGCTCCGTTCTTTCTGTTTCTCTCCAGGCCATCCCTCCCTTTCCCTCCCTTCTCCTGTTCCCTCTGTTTCAATAGCTGCTCACTGAATGAATAATTGTCACCCTC